GTCTCCCAGTATTAGTAAATCAGCTTTTTAAACTCGTACCATTTACCTCCTAGGTTATGGTAAATAAGCAAAATCTAACAATCTCTCAGGTATCGACGAGTTATCTGCGTTGTCAAGTCTTGATTCTAACCCACTTTGGTCCAAACGCTGGTAAGATGATACATCATCATTTATGCCTATTATTCACACTCATAAGAATGTTGTACAACGTATTCTTATATTAGCTCGGACAAATCTTTGGGTTTTCTAATATTTAATAAACTTCCGATCAAACGCGCGAGACCTGCGTATTCTCACACTATTCAATCGAAAGATGATTAAATAGGGGCAATTGTCATACCCCAAATTTGCCCACCCTTTATTTCAACAGTAAAAATTATTTTAACTATTGATTTTAAAATATTATTTTATTTTTATAAAATATTCACTTCCAAACCTGTTTAAAAATATAATGATTTATTTCAGATCATTTGTATTTTTGAATAAATAAATATTCCCATACATTTCATATACTTTCAATTGAGTTTATTTACAAATGAGTAACATAGCACAATTGGTAAAGAATGAAGCTTACGAAAATAAGGTCCCGGGTTTGAATCTCTTGTGTTGCACTTTCAATATTTTCTTTTCTTTTTTCTATTTTTTTGTCACTAATTTTCTTTCTATTTTAAATAGGTGTTTCTTATTGGCCATTGGATGTCAATTTGTGTCACACCTTATTTTTTATTGGTCAAGTTTGTTTTATTTCCAATTTGGATGATTTTTTTTTATCTATAAATAGGACATGTTTTTCACTTCTAAATCACCTAGAAATTTTACAATTCACCCACAAAAACTTGCTTTTTTCTTTCAAATTTTTATAATTCTTGTTCTTAGTTTATTATACAATTGTTGTCTATATCAAACAACAATGACAGTTTCTTTATTAACGGCCGCTGATTTCATATGAGGCCCCCTCCCTTTTGTTTTCAATTTTATTTTTATTTTTAATTTCTTTGTTGTTTTTACTACATGATGATTATCTGATAGTTGTTTATCTTTTAAAATTATATTTGCATTATTTTTGTTGGGAGGCCATATTTGTGCACATTTACAACAACTATCATATGCAATTCTTAAATCCCCATCCTTTTCAATTCCATTTATTTTATTAGTTATTGTTATAACCATATAATGAAATTTTTAATAGTCCTCTTGCTTCTTTTTTTTTAAAAATTTATTTATTGTTGTATTATTGCTTTTTGATTCTTTCTTGTTAGAAATAATTTTTAACCACAGTATATAATATTTACTACACAAAATGCACATTACGTACATACTTTACCAATCATTTTTTTTATACAGTTTCTAAAACTCATCTTTATCAAAAGTTACATACTTTCTCTTCTATCATGATTTTCTAACACTATTTCTCCACACAAATCCAAAACATTTGGCATTAGCAATATGCATAGTGTTGTTTTTGCAGAAAAAATAAAAGGAGAAGAAAATGAAGATTGCTCATAAAGTCGACGTGAGACATCGACGAAACCAAAACATCATCAACCATGTAGATCTGCAACTTCGATAACCGTCACTCATTCGCTCAAGATTCAACATGTCCTACTGTCATCATCGTTGTTCACGTTCCAGAACAAGAAATATGTTTGGGGATGTTTGAATGGGTCAGCAACCTAGTTTTTTCTACCATTTAATTATTACTATAATGTTATAATAATAAGTATCATTAATATTCTTTTTTTTATAGTTTTTATTATGATCAATAACTTTTCCTTTTTTTCCTTTTTTTAATTTGTATTTATGTTTTGTTTTTTTGGTGAGCTATAACTTTATGACCGTGTCTAGATTTCATTATTTTTGTTTCATATTTCATTGTTTAAAGATTTTGAATTTTGTATCGTAATATTATGATCATAACTAATGCAGCGCCTCCCCTGAATATGATTATTCTTTTTTCTTTTTCTTTTTTACATTTTTTGTTACTATTATTACTATATATTTAATTTATTAGAGTTTGCTTTGATATAGATTTTAGATCCTATTGTGGTCTTCACCGCCTAAAATTCTATTAGTACTTCTTTATTCTGTTTCCATTTAAATTAATTTTAGTTTTTTTTTATAGATTAATTTAGCTAAATAGGATAACTTAGTTTAGTCATTAGTCTATGTCATATAAATAGCTGCAATTAATTATTTTAGTTTTCTTAAATTTAATTTATTTAATCACTTAATTTTGTTTATTCAATACAAAATACAAAAATGTATCAATTTTATTTCATTTAGTTTTAATCTATTAATTTAGTAATTAATCGTAAACATACACATAAATCAAGCTTTTGTAAATTTAATTAATTCAACCTTTTTATAATGGGATTGATAGATATTTCATCTACCATGTCCTCGAATAAGCGATTGGTCGACTCACCGTCTATCAGTCAATTATTCGAAATTGAATATTAAAACCCGCGCAATTCACCAAATTACTACGTCTGCGAGCGACATGTGGCCAATATCTGGCCATGTGATGAGGAGACTATATCAGACTCCCCCGCTATGCGTCTTAAAACTACTAACCAATCTCAAATCATTTTTTTACTGACATGACAATCAAATTCAAAAACATTTTCAAAAAGTATTAAATAGCATCGCCTTCGAATCAAACTACGAACTGTGTCTACGATCACTCAGTTTACAACTCAAACAAAGTTCAAAGTTAATTCGAAAGAAATTCTATGCAATCCATAAAAAAACACAAATCAAACACCGCGAACTACGAAAATGAGACTCTGATTCCTCCTAAGGAGGATACGTAGGCATACGATCAAAAATCATTGCGAGTCCCGCTAACTAAAATTCAAACCCTTTTCCTTAATTAATAATTAAAACCCTATTTTCTAAACATCGCACTTCTAAACCTAGTATCCTTGCGAATAAGGTAGATAAGGGGTGCCTAACACCTTCCCCTCGTCTAGAACCGAGTCAAACTTAGAATCTCTGAATTTTTTTTAGGGTTATTCCTTTATACTCCCTTCCTTTAGGATAAAAATTAAGGGTGACGACTCTGATTAAAAAACCAGTTGCCACACATCTCATCCACATTTATTTAATCATCCACGTACAGTAATTAAATAAAATTATAAAATTATAATTAAATTAAAATAAAATAATTTACTAAAAATGGGGTGTTACATATGTGCAATATTATGTAATAATATTGACTATTGCATTTGGAAGATTGAGTTTTTCAAACTCTTAATGAAGTTCAATGTTGAGAATATGTATCTCAAGTAAAGTAGATGCATTATGAACATCACCTAGGTGAATTTTGAGATGATGTCGTCTCAAAGTGAAAATTGCAATTTCTCTTATGATAAATTCACGAAACACGAAAAGCACATGACCATAAATAGTACTAGGCGAGAGATGTAGGTGAAGAACCATTAAAGAGTGCGTGTAACATAACACAAGTATAATCAAAAGGAATAACAAATTCAAAACCTTGCTATCTAAAATTCTGATTAAACATTGTGTTATCTTTACTAAGATTAAGTTCAAATTGATAGATACTTAACTTTATTAACATTCTCTATTTCCTTTTCTGGAATTGATATTCTCTATTGAGAGATTGCAATTAATAACAATAATTAATAATCATGGGCGTGTCCAAAATGACAAGAAAATATGCAAGTGAATAAGTGAACAATCAATGAATGGAAAATAGTCCCGTATAGAAAGTTTCACTCACTTTAACTTTAATATTATAAGAGTTATATTCTTTAACTCAATAAAGAAGATAAAGAGGATAAAGTGTCACATGAACAAGTGTGGTGATCTCAAGTCTTATGATTCTAGTCTCCTCCACACTCCCCCTCGCCGGTGTAGTCACCGATGATACCAACCCGAGACTGAGATCAAGGACGTGGGCGTAAATGCACTAGTGGTGACTTGTAGACGACACTTGGACACTTAGACATGACGCGTAAGAGCAATCTTGCTTAAGTTTGTTTTTCAAATTCATAAATAGGCAATACTTCGTGAAAAATTCTGATTAGCAAGGCAAAACTTTGCAATACTTAATAAAAAATATTGTTGAAAGAGTGTGTTTCATCAAAGATTACAATTTTATGAAACAACACAACTTGACCTATAAATTGATCATTCTAAATTTATACAAACAAACTCAAATATAAATTTAATTATCCAGAATATTTCCGCACATCGATTCTAAAAATACTTAAAATACTATTAAAAAATAATTGTTTGTGTTTGGCACATATTATGAATGATAAATAATGATGTTATTATTTGAACATCTACAAGTTAATGCTGTACATATTTTTTTGTATACATGCTGTGTAGAACAAAACAATATAATCTAATTAACATTTGTCGTTATAATTTAAAAAGTATAAATAGCTAACTTCTCTATTGAGTTTTTTTCCTTTTAATTTTTATTTCATTAGTTTTGTTACAAAACTAACGACTAATCAAATAACTCTTTTATTCCGATTTATTTTGTTTGGTTGTTTAAAAACGACAAAATGACAAAATTGACAACGATGTAACTAAATTCAACGTCTTTCTTCAAACTCCACACTCCCTCATTAAACGGTCCATTCCAAATTTTTAATCACATCCTAAACTTTTTAAAATTCAAATTACATACTAATTTCAAACGTTAGATCCAAAACTACAACACTTCTCAAATTTTTTCATAATACATATAAGACCATTACATGCATTGAAATATATAAACTTGTTAAAAGAAAAAAAACACTCCCATTAAAACCATAACATGTCAGTTTTATATATATTGTTCAAATTTTACTATCATTATATAGTTATAACAATAAATGTACCAAAATTAATGATGTTAATTAAAAGGCTAATTACAGCATAATCATGGAAAAGAAAAAGAAACTCTCATAATTAAATACTCATTTCTAGTTTTGTACTCCGAAAAAGCTCATTGAAATTTTCTTCTTGTTCTTCCTCCTTCAATGGAGTGCACAAAGAGAACAACATTCTCTGAACATTTTCTCTCTTATAGAACAAAAATTCTATCTGGTTTCACATTAGGTCTTGTAGCTTCTCTCGTTTTTCTAACACTTCTCTTTTTCAATTCCTCTTTCAAAATCCCCAAACTCCAAGTTTTTCTTCAAGGATCTCAATTCAATCGAAACTATTCATCTTCTTCTTCACTCTCTTCATGGCATTTTCCGTTTTCATCATTCTCTTCAAATTCAAATCCCAATGCTTCGGTCACTCCTCTTCATACGTTTGATGAAGAACAACAGAGTTTAGCCCGTGAGGTGAATGCAACGAACGAGGGGTTGGAGAAAGGGAAAACGAATTTGGGGAATTTTACGGGTAATTTATTGGATCGGGGTAGCGTTGATGAAGTCGGTAACTTTAGTGTTGGGAAAGGGAATTTTTCTGAGAATTTGTTGGATCGGGATAGGGTTGTTAAAGATGGAAACTTTTCTGTTGGGAGAAGTGGAATTGATGGAAAGGGGAACTCGAGTGTTGCTGTGGCGGTGGAGAAGAGTATAGAGAGGATTGATGAAAAGTGTGATATATTTGATGGGAATTGGGTGAGAGATGAGTCGAAACCTTATTATCCTTTGGGTTCTTGTCCGTTTGTGGATAGGGATTTTGATTGTCATCTTAATGGGAGGCCTGATAGTGATTATGTCAAGTGGAAATGGAAGCCTAGTAAGTGCGATATTCCAAGGTATGTGTGTATCAATGATTTTGATTCATCTTGTTTTTTTATGCTCTAAACTTAGTATTGTTGAATTGTTGTTGTCATAGGAAAAAAATAATAGTAGAATAGAATTGCAAGTTGTGTATATTTTTTGTGTTGAATGATTATGCGTGATTATTAAAATAGTATTTTAAGAGAAGAATGGAATTTGAGGCTTCTTGGTCAAGTTTTTTTGCTGAACATTGAATAGTAACTTGGATATTAAACAGTTTTTTGGACACAGTGAGAATAGTGTTGAATATCTATTAGTGATGTTTGAGTTTGTTTGAAGTCCTAGGTTGTTTAGCTTCCCGGCTCTCAGAATGTATAAATATGCGAGGGCAATCTCACTCTTTGAGCTAGACTTCCAATCCAATGACCTGTGGATTATGGGCCCTCCCACCATTTATATGTGCACTAAGCCCAATTGTGTTGGGCGCAAGTGCAATTGCATTGTGACTGCAACCAAAACGGCAATTTAAAACCATGAAAGAAATTGGATGAAATAGGGAAGAATGGTTGCCTTATGGTGTTAGGTCTTGTGTTGATATCAAAGTGGGAAACCAAAAAGGGATGGGGGATTGATACTTTTTCCTGCATTTGGACTTTATTTTTATCAACGGAATAAACGACTGATAAATGATTATATATAGGTGTCAAATTGAGTTAAATGGTACTATGATCCCTAGAAATGTACCTCATCTTAAAAATGATGGTATATTTCAGTCCATAAACTACAAATTCATTTCTTATTAAGCAAGTTTGAATAGTTTGAAGGACTGAATCATTTTGTTCATTAAGGTTATAAATTCAGAGTGAGTAACTTTATGGAGGACCGCGATGCTTGTTTACTTTTTTAAACCTTCAATTGAATCTTTATTTACATTTGCATAAATTAAGTAGCACAGCTTATGCTTTAAGTATAAACAAATTTTTTAATTAAAGGGAATGCTATCCCCTGATGCTGGATAGAACATTATGGCGAAAGTTGATAATGATCAATAGGCTGTGTTTTAACCAACCATTTGGAAAGGAACTAAATTTGTGTTAATATTATCCTTCAATCTCTAACAATCTCTTATTCAAACAAACTCTGTTTTGGAATGTTAACAATGATCAGTAAGATGTGTATTAATCTCAGTGTTGGTTTACAATCATTTCAACTATAAGCAAACCAGTGATTGTGACTTTCATTTTAAACCATGGAATATATGAATGTTATCCTTGTATATTTATCAATTATTGATGTCACCTCTCAGTTTGAATGCAACTGATTTCCTGGAAAAGTTGCGAGGACAGAGATTGGTTTTCGTTGGGGATTCACTGAACAGGAACATGTGGGAGTCCATGGTGTGTATTCTACGTCAAAGTATCAGTGACAAGAAACGTGTTCACGAAATTTCAGGAAAAAGGAGATTTAAGAAGAAGGGTGTCTACTCTTTTAGATTTGAGGCAAGCTTCCAGTACATCTTTGATATTTTTTTTCTTAGTATTAAACTTGTAATGTCATCTCAATGATTTTTTGTTTTGTTTTTGTGTGTGGTTATTTATAGGATTATAATTGTTCAGTAGATTTTGTGAGTTCAACATTTATTGTTCGCGAGTCGACTTTCAAAGGCGTAAATGGGTCTTTTGAGACATTAAGATTGGATTTGATGGACGAGAAAACTATCAGGTATCATGATGCTGAGATCATAGTCTTTAACACAGGGCATTGGTGGACACATGAAAAGACATCTAAGGGGTGAGTCTGTCTTTTACCCCTAGTAAAACTTCCTTCAAACTGTTATGGTTCTATGCTTGAAAGTGGTCTTGAAATCTATAGAGATAGTTGTCTCATTTGAAGATGAATAACAATAGAATTTTAACATGATATTAAGATTCATATTCCCTGTTTATAAATGATCATATCTTTACAGATTTTACATGTAAGATTGCTTTCCGATCTAGATATCAATCTCTTGTCTTCCTTACTTCTATGAAATACATGTAAGATTCGTAATGTTGTTTCTGAATTACAACTGAAATACAGTATGAAATTTAAGTTCCTGCCTATTATACTATCATAGTTTTACTTTTGCCAAGTTGTTTTGCCAAATTTCTTTTCCAATCAAGAAGTTAATGCCATGTTGTGCTTACCATTTGTGATTCGCATTCGTCATCTGGTAATGTTACAGAGAAGACTATTATCAAGAAGGCAACCATGTACACCCGAGACTCAAAGTTCTGGATGCATATAAAAGGGCATTGACCACGTGGGCTAAATGGATTGACAGCAATGTTGATGCAAATCGAACACATGTTTTCTTCAGAGGATACTCAGTTACCCATTTCAGGTATCGGTCTTTTTACATAGCTTCTGAAGCGTGATAGAATCTGGACTTGCTATTGTTTTCTTCCTTTACATGGCTCTAATATTAACCATTGTAACTCTGGAGCTCAAAATTTATATTTTGTTTAAAGTTAAGACTTGTCGTGCATACTCGACGATCATCTACAAATGTTTTTATGTTTATTAATCCATGTGTATTTTATATGAAGAACAAGTTGTATGAACATTGTATGCGATTGATTCATATATTTCCAAAAACTAGTGATATTCAATTAGATGCCTTAAGGAATTCTAATACTGTCTGACATGGTTTCATTTCAGCGGTGGCCAATGGAATTCAGGAGGAAAGTGCCACAAAGAAACCGAGCCAATATATAAAGGACATCATTTACGGAAATATCCCTCGAAAATGAGGGTTCTAGATTATATCATCCCAAAGATGAAAACTCCAGTGATTTATATGAACATAAGTAGGATGACAGATTACAGAAAAGACGCTCATCCTTCAATATACAGAATGGAATACAAGACAGAAGCAGAATGGGCCACCGCCGAGCAACACCAAGATTGTAGTCATTGGTGCTTACCAGGAGTACCGGATACTTGGAACGAATTACTCTACGCATCTCTCTTACAATATGGTAAAGGCAATTGGAAAACCTGAGAAATCTTCATGCACCACGATTCTGGTTCATTATACACATTGTGTTCAAGATTCAACACATGTATATTCCTCGATTTCCTCTAAAGGATGTCTTGAGTTATGGTTTGTGCAGATGATTAATTAGAGCGACGAGTTTATATGTATCGTGTGTATTCATCAAGTTGCAAACACATTTGTCATAATATTATTACCATGAATGAAAGCTATAGAATTTGTTGATCAAAGACCTGATTTGATTCTCTGCGTTTAATTCATTCGTATTTTATCTATCATTCTCTCATCTACTCTCACAATATCACCAAAATCGGATATTAGAGACACTCAAATCGACGGTTAATTTATGTTGTGGTTAAGTATTCTCTCATATTGCAACTGCATACTCAAATCAGCAATCTTGGGTCAAATAATGTGTTTTTAACATGAATAATACAACCTTAGTCATATCAACTACTGAATTATATGATAAAACATTACTAAATTTTCTGACTCCAAATTACTGGTGGGACATGAAACATAACTCATAACACAAACAAAGAAGCATACATTCATGTGCGGATAAAAAAGGACAACACAGAAGAAAAGAAACAGGAATTAATGATAACAGTTACCTACCTTACATGCAGAAACTGAAACAAGAAACAGACTCTAGGATCAGCTGCAAATTGAGTGAATTTGAAGTACATCACAAAGTTGGAAACTTCTCAAAGGAAGACAACATTTATTATTACATTCTACTACAAGAAGAACTATAATAATTTATCTACGAAGCACAAACACCAAACACCGACACATCTGTAGAACACCAGACACACCTTCAGTCTGAAGTGTCAGTACTAGTACTGTACTTCATAGATGATAATACCGGATAGAGTGATTGATACATAGCCATTAAGACTCCAAAAAGGAATCTATTGCCTTTTTGTGACTTGCCGGTTTGCCATACTATAACCAAAGCTTCTGACCCTTTAGAGAAAAATGCTTAATTATTTGCTTCTGCTATTCAGAAAAAAGCACATCCCTTTTTGATATGAGAAGCCAATAGCTAAAGCAGAAAGCAAACTGTTTTGGAAAAATGGAGGGAGAGTGTAAAGGATGATGTAATTAATACTAATCATAATTAGTACTAGTAACTAATTAACCCTCTCACACTTCTCTCCATGTTTGATTTTAAGAACCATGGATTGATTTTTGCCAACAAAGAACCTTCATTGCTAATAACAAAGATTCAAAGTGTTTGATAATGGATTGGTTTAGAGGATGGTTAAAGGGCTCCACAAAAGAAAAGTAGTGGGGAAGTTGGTGTCTCTGATCATTGTTTTAAATACTTGTGATGGTTGAGATGTAGTATAAGAAAGTGGTGTGTGGAGTGTATGTATCATTCTTTTTCATTATCCATTATGACTATTTAACACCATCAAAAGTTGCAATGTTTAGCCACTAACATAAAAGATAAATAGTACTACTGTTTTCAGATTAAAATAATTCAAATAGATTAACACTTTTTTTTCTCATTATTTCAATCTTAATCTAATCTTTAACCTAATGGCCTAACCTTTTGTTGATCTCAAAATCTAACATTAACCACAACATACCTAACCTAGCTTAACTGAATTTTTGCACCATTTTATTTTCTTTCTAACCAATTTTCACAAAAATATAAAATGATAAAAAAAAAAACTCTAAGTAGGGCTTCATCGATTTAACTAGATATAAGTTTATTATCGACTTATCAATAAAACGGACTTCACAATTATAATATAATAAATTAGTAATTTTTTTTTTGCCGTGTCCAATACTAAAACCGATTAATTTGGAGACCGATTTCACGATCGCTAAATTGAATTCATAACAAAAAAATTATGCATAAAATAACGTAACACATAAATTATTTGATTTGATTTTATAATTATTTATGCAATACGGATTTAATTCACTAATAAAATATAATAATTTATCATTTTATTGACAAGATTTAAATATAATATTTTATTTAATAATATTTCCGTTTTTTTTATAAGAGACAATTATTTTTTAAATTTATTAAATAATTAATGTATCAGTCAACAAATAAATTTAACATATTGATTATTTAATAAATTTAAAAAATAAATTATTTCTTATAAAAAGAAATGAAGATAATAAAATATAATAATTTATTATTTTATTGACAAGATTTAAACATGACATCTTATTTATAATTCTTTTTTTTTACAATATTTAAGATGAGATCATTTTATATGTTTACATTGAAATTGAGATATGTATCTTGTCCTTGCCAATCTGCAGTCCTACACAAATACAGACAGTAAACTAAATATTAAATTCGTACATAAAGGCATTTTAGTGAATCATGCCAATTTTCCATAGAAGATGTCTAATTGAAATTTTGTACTATGATTCAAGAAAGATTATTAATAAATATCAAAGTCAATATAAACTTTAAACATTGGCTCCCACACTTTACTTTTTTTCATTTATACTTGACCTTCGATAATTGGAGGCTTTTATTGCATAGTGGATCCACTCCCAAAAACTATACCCCACCTCTCTTCCAACAATTATTTTATATCTTGTTGAGTTGAGTTAACTTTATGTTGATTTAGGACATAATTCATTTATATTTATACTTTAATATGAATAAATTGTTAATATTCTAAATTATTAATTTTTAGATAATTTTTTTTTGACATATTTGATTATTTAAATTAAAATTAATTATTTTTTAGAATTAATTATATTTAAAATTTGTAGCTTTTGAATAGAAAGATACATCAATTTATTTTCAACTTACTTTTAATTAAAAATCAATTTTAAATAATCAATCTCTTTAAAAATGATTTTTCTTGTCACAAAACCAAACATATACTTTCAAACTTTAAACTTTACTTGTGTAGGAGCCCTACTGGTTTAACTTAGCTGTTAATTAATTCCAATCATATGATCTCCTTTCATATTTCTAGGAGCCATTTTTTAATTAAAAAAATTCTACTACCCATAATTTCAACTTTTATTTTTTGAAAGAGTGATTTATCACACCATCAAGAAGCAAAGGAATAACCCAAAAAATTTATAGGAGCCATTAATTTCAACTCTAGCATTTTTTGAAAGTAGCAATCAATATAGCTTAAACTTACCTTCAAGAGTCATTGCCCTTTCTCTAGCCAGCTTTAGGAATGAACCAAAAATTGCAGTGATTTCCTTCTCAGATATGCACACAATTATACCACCTAGACTATCCATTATTCAACTAAGCTTTTCTTTTGCCTCTCCTTTAAGCAAGAAAACAAAATATTCATTTTTTTTTTCTTTGCGAATCTCACTTTATTAATTATCTTTTGAAAAACAGTTTAGATAGAGACGATATTTAACTGTGATAAATATTTTATAAAATATTATTTAATTATATTTAATTATAATAAATTTTAAATTATTTATAATAGTAATCTGACTTGCACGCTCTGATACATATTGTTCAGTCAATTTTAATTTTGCTAAAAAGTAAATTTGATTCTTATTGCTTTAAAAAAAATCAAAACAATGACTTATTGCATTTCATAAATTAAATTAGAATCTATCATTATTACCCACCACTTTCAATTGGACAAAGGAGTATCAACAGAAAATGTTATGTGGTCCTAAGTTGATTCCGATTTGTAATCAAGTTTTTGGGTCCCTTATAATCCAAAAATTTCCACGTTTAACTGTTAAATACAGTTTAATTTATGTTCAAACGTGGATGATTTATTGATTAGTCATCATCGTAGTAATTATAAATATGGTCCATCTACTTTCCACGTGCCATTTGAAGCCATAGGGACTGATGTATTTTCCATGATGTGGTTTCAATTTTTGAATGGAACTTATGGAGTCCTTGTTTTCATTATTTTTGGTCCAACAAAACACAATCAAATCTTAATTGTGTGTTATAGTTGTTGATGACACTTTGTTCACAAAGCAAATGAATGTACAGGGTAAAGATAAACGATGAATCTAAATCATAAATTCTTAATTCTAAACTCTAAATTTTAAATTTGAAGTTAAAACAAATATTGGTTTTTGTGAGGTTTGGGGTCGAGGTCTATAGCAAGTAATAATTATATTGTACTTGTTGCTAGTAATCACTAGTCACTGCCATTTGGGGATCACTCTTACTATTACTCAAGGGAAAACAAAATGAATTTGGATAACATTATTGCTACATTTATGTATGTCAAAATAGACAAATATAGATAAATGATCTCTATACGATGATCTATATGTAAATGTGTCCAAAATAGTATACGATGATCTATACGTAAATGTGTCCAAAATAGTGGGAGGAAACAAAGATAAAATGAGTTTTAAAAGAAGTTTAAATTCAAAAATAGAAAAACAGTAGATTATTTTTGTTGCAAATTTATCAAGTATTGGAAGACGGATTGTTTAAATAAAATCTATAAATTGTTGGAGAGTATTGTCATAGGAGATGATGTTATGAAATTTAGTTTGATAATGATGCAACAAAACTCCGACATAAATATTTGAGTCATCTTAGTTAAAGAATGATGAAATATACACACATATGTATTATTTTTGGACAGTAAAGTGGTATCTAGCGTGGGCTTGCGGTAAAGTTAGCTCGGACCATACCTTTCACTCTTATCCCTCCATCCTCATTTTCAGGAGATGATGGACACGGGTCTCTCATCACACAAAAAGCAACATCATTGGAGGTATCTCTGTAAAGAGCCTCTTTAGGATTGCTCGACAAAGATATGCGAGACAGGTGCTCGCTGCGAACGTCATATCCTTTGGTTTTCCTAAGATTACTACATGAATGAATAACCGAGGCCAACATTATCCCTCATGATACGATCCCTTAATCATCACCGTCCAATAGGACAACTGGAATATCAAGTGTGTCCTGATAGACCCAGGAAGCTCAACCGATGTCCCATTATGAGATGTTTCCAAAAGCAACTACAAGATCTGGACGACATAGAGTTTCACGGGCTCCCTGA